TTATAAAAAAAAATCCCATTTAATATTCTTACCTATTTATCTATCTCCTATTTGTTGTATTTCTCTATAGAATCCTGACTATTAATACACTACTCAACCCCATGTATCAAGACTCATTATGGAAGTGATTCTTCTTATATTACAGCTTTCTTAATTTTTAAAACTAAAAAGAAATTAATTCCTCTTTGCTTCAACCACAGTGTCTTTCTACATCTCTCATTTCTCCTTTTGGCATTGTACCACAGTACAATCCTTATCACAACCATTAGAATACAATCTTTGTACCTTCCAGTTTCTCAAACAGTGCTGTGAATGTTTCTTGAAATTACTTCATACCCAATGGGCCTTTGTTTATAATTATACCTAGCCAAAAATGAAGGCCAATTCTTTATACATTTGGCATTGCCGTGGTTGTTAGGGATACTGATATCAATTGTATTAAATTAACTCTGTGATTTTTTCCCCTAGGTAAAGAAAGCCAAATTATTAGCATCGTAAAATGGCAGGTAAAGAGAAGACTAAAGAGAGAGGAATAAAGTGATGTAGTCATGGATACCAACTAGGAAATATAATAGGGTCTCTAGATAAGAGCAGAGTGTAAGATCTGGACTAGACACATAGAAGTAAAAATTGGAAAGGACCTTGTGTGTAGGACTTCATACGAGAAAAATCAAATAAAATTCAAAACTCATGAAGGGAAAATTAAAACAAGTAAAATTAAAATGATTCTAAAGATATAAGATGATGACACAAACCTGCAAAAATAAATGGATATATCATACAGAGTCCATCAGGAGAAGCTCATTTATTGTTCAAACAACTATAGGAATAACAAACCAAATGTATGTTGGAAACATTTATTATCAGTCAGCTATAAAAATGGAACCTATAGATGCCTTTCCCAAAATAGAAATATAATCCCAGTCATGAATAAGTTGAAGTCAGGTCAAGAATGTATCAGTATGACATATTTTGGAGGTAGTCACTCAAGTCTTGGGAAAAGTTCATTGTTATTAGTTCAATCTAAAATGAACCTCTTAAAGAGAGGTTGAAGAAATGAGTCAATACACAGGATCAGATTGTCAAACTAGATTCATCTGATTCAGGTTTTACTCAATATCAAAGTTTACTAAATAATTGTAAGAATATTAGGCATTCAAGAGGCTCAGATGAAGCAGAGTGAGTTCCAGGACATTAACAGTGATTCCCTAGGTCCTTTCTTCTCACACGAAGAAACATATGGGAGACATGCACCTGTAGCCTAGGATAACAGATAAAGTCTGAAAGGATGGCTCTTGGATTCTTCATATAGCAGGCCATGTTTAAATGAAATGTGTCAATTTAATACTCAGTAGCTTTCTGTACCCTATGTGACATTCTCCAAAGAGCCATGTCATTTTTCCTGGGTTTCATTTATTGTATGTAATCCTTAAAGATATCCCTCTATGGTCATTTAAAAAATAAGGTCTATATAGTGGGGTGATTAGCCTCCAACTCATAAAAATAAATGAAAAAAAAATTTTTTAATTAAAAAATAAAAAATAAGGTCTATACCTCCTAGCAAAATAACATTAGTCTACTTACCCTGAGGTCCACTTGACAAGGAGACTAGAATGGGTCATCAGCCTTCTTTTCCCATCTGGTGAAGGAAGAGAATGAAACCCATGGATCCTGGCCAACTGCCTTAGCATCTTCCCCCCAGGAAGTTTAAGACATTGTTTTTTATGACAACGCAGTGTTTTTTGTAAGAAAATACAAAGTGAGTTTTGGAAAGGGGAGTGAGAGGTGTATAATGAAAGAATTAAGGTAAATAAGTATTTATAAAATCCATGAGTCTACAGTTTAAAGAAAAGAATGTGAGAACGGTATTTGGAAGAAAGATTATTGAGGTTACTTTTCATAGTGTGGGGGGAAACACAGGCTAATGTGTTTAAAAATACAAAGAATGTGAAACGTTCTCACATTATTGGTAGCGACAATGATTCCCAAGCTGGCAATTTGCCATTAGCCATGAACTGGATCACCTCCCTTCATAAACAACTTACATATGTTGAAAAAATAAAAACCACATGTGACAGAATATTAAACTGAGATCCTTCCTGCTTCCTGCAGCTCAATAAGAAGATAATAGATGCTCTATCCCTGGGTATTACGCATCATGACCTAGAACCCATTAGGTGATGTGAGATAATGGGACCCCAAGAGAAGACACTTTGGAGAGTGTTCTGCCCCGAAACCCCAGGGTCATAAGAAAAGCTGTAGCAAAGCTGCAGTCTGAGGGAAATGTAGCCTGCATCCCAGGAAGCTGCAGGGGATGTTCTTAGAGTATCTGAGAAAACCCTGAATGTGTCCCCAGAAAGGGGCAACTTCAAAATCTGGAGACTCACAGAGCATCAACAATCTTAAGTAATAGCTTCCCTATCCTCCTGCCCCTTTCCCTTTCTCTTTCTTCTACCTGCAAATTTCTCCCATTAGCTGTCTGAGAGAAAATAGAAACTCTATAACAATATGGAAAGAGAGAGGAAAGATCAATTTTCCTGTATCTAGGTTCTGCCTGTCAGTCTCAAAGTTTGATTATTATCTGAGACAGGACTATCTTAATTACTGAATTGAGATGTGGTGTGTGTGTGGGTGTGTGTGCACACGTGTGTGTGTGATTTCTATTACCTAAGACTAATCAGAAAATATATTATCCAGTTGTCAAGGTGGGGATAATACCCACTGATCAGCTTCAAAGAGACTGTGAGGGACAATATAATTATACCTTGTGAAAACTGCTTGTTCAATGTATTGGTCACATTTACTTACTCGGTTTAATCTTAATATCCCCACAGAAAATATAATTAGTGTAAAGTAACTTAACTGGAAAAAAATGAAAAAAATCAAACTAACTCTAAAGGAAAAGCATATGATTTAAGCTACTGTTTCTATTCATTGAAATAATGAATCAATAATTGGCATGGAATCAAAAAGTGTGCAATTGTTATTTTGCAAACTGAGGAAATGCATAGAAGAAAAACAAAAGAAAAACAACTGCATTTTATCTTGCAGCTAATAACGACTATAAAGGCACTGTGATTGCATCTTTTCAAACATTTCATAGATGAAAANGGGAGGAGGTGGAGGAGGAAAGGACAGGGACTAGCTTGGATCCCAGTCAAACTAAAAAGCCATAGCAAGGATGCCACAGAATAAGATTTTTTCATCTATAATGTCAAAGAATGAGTATCTTATTCTAATGTATACTATTAGAACTAACACAGTTACTTTTCTACTCCAAAGATAGAAAACCCAATAATTATCTGGTTATCTCAAAATTTACAATGCTACCTCTGTTATATAGACAGATGACCAAGCAAATCAGCCTTTATAACCATCAACATTTGAACTACAGGTAATTTTTTATTATGAAACAGCAAAATAATCAATGGCCTACTAAGTGTGACTCTCTCAAGTAGTTTCTCTGTAGCCTCTTGATGGTTGACTGAGATACGGAACCTTTGGAAATGAGGAAATGCTCTAACTAGAAGCAACACATTTCTCTTTCTTATGAAACAAATACAAATTCATAGCAGAACATTTGGAAAATACAAAAAAAAAAAGCTTAAAAAATAACATAAGTCACTTAGAATTCCACCACCCTAAGACAACCACTATTAATTTAAAATAAAAACTGAAATAGTATTGTGCATCTGTCTAGCCTCTCATGCTGAGGAAAGACTTATTAGGTTTCATGTTAAATCCAAGTCTGATTTTGGTAGTCATAATAATTTGTATCAGTCATCTCTAAATTTGGTGATGACATTTTATCCTATTCTAATGCTGTTGTGTTTCTGTTGTTTTGATTGACCAAATTTTTTTATTGTTGCAATGATGTCAAAAGATATCAAATTTTACATTTTAAATATGTGATATATTGTATGTCTATTATATCTCAATAAAGTTGCTAAAAATAGATTGATCAAACGTGAGAAAAACTGTAAGCAGGTCCTAGATATGACCTTCCTATATGTAAAGCTAAAGTCACTCATTTTCTGACTCTTAAAAAAGTCTGCAGCCTAACTCATAGTTCTGAAGGTCAACAGGAGACTGTGGTGATGGCTGGGTGGTCAGCCTCACTAAAGCTATTTATTCTGCTCTTACATTTAGATTTTCTGACATCATTAAATATTTTTTCAAAAACATGATTTAACAGTTTTATAATATTACATACAGTTGATCCTTAAACAACATGGAGGCTAATCCACATATAACTTATAGTCAGCCCTCTGTATCTGTAGTTCCTCTACATACATGAATTCAACCAACCATGGATTGTGTTGTACTATAGTATTTACTACTGAAAAATATCCACATATAAGTGGATCCATGCAGTTCAAACCCACATTGTTCAAGGGTCAACTGTATATTTATTTAACCATTTCCAAGTAAGTCAGTTATATACTTTCAAATTTTTTCTTACATGAAAATGATAGTCTCTCTAATGACTATCCTAAACACTAAACTTCTCCATACCTTTATGATTATTTTTTTAGGATACTTTCATAATTATCTTAGCTTATATGGCAAAGAAACCCAATGTCTTAAATTAGGCTTACCTCTCTCAGGAAATGGAGAATGCAAGTTCTTTCATCATGCCCTTTGAGCAGAAGTCTAAGTTTAAAAACTTCCGCTCTTTGCTTCATACTACAAAGCTTACTTCAAAGGACCACAGGGCTAGCTAGAACCTTGCTGTTTGAGAGCAGTTCTCAGACTCAGGTGGGGAGCCAGGAGAAATGGGGACCTTTCAGCCACCAGCAAGCTCTACTCAAACAGGGCCACTATGAAAACAATTGCAATTCCCTTCAGTGTGGCTAGTTCATACTTTTCCATTTGAATTTGAACAACATTAGAATGGATGAATGGTGTAAAATATTACAACTAAGCTTAGAGATGACAAACACAAGTTATAATTATCAAATTTCAGTTAGGAATTAATGTGAAAGCAAATGAACTTTTCTTCAGGATGAATGGTTGGACAGATGCACACTTAACCACTCCATGACCATCGAGAGCCCCAGTTGCTGCCTCTTGTTGAACTCACCATGAGGAGTGGAGAACAGACTGAGTAGGATAATAACACTAGGTTGAACTCCATGTTCTATGAGAACCTTTACAGCTTCAATTACAGTATTTCCAGTACTGAGAATTGGATACATCAGAAGGACTTTTTTTCTGTAAATGTCTGGGGGGAACTTGGCATAATATACTTTGGCTCTTTGTGTCTCCTCATCACTCTGAATCAGGATCTTTTCAATTCGTATGGATCGACAGCAGTCTCGTAAACCTTGTTCCATTGCCTCACCGCTTCTCATTATGCTGACCCCACAATTTCCCTTTTCAAATTTCACTCCTTCATATTTGTACCCTGTTGGAGTGGTCACCATGCATTCTTTATATGGTAGCTGATTCAATCCCTCTTCCACAACAAGTCTGATCAAACGATCCGCAGAAAACATGAAGTCCCCTCTACTGGCTGTCTTGTCCCGGATGATAGTCTGCAGCTCCCGGATCTGATCATTCATTGGCAGGAGCTTAAGCTGCGCCCCGATCTGCCGGGAGATTTCGCAGTCCCCTAGGAGGGAATCGCTGGCTGGAGCGTCATAGTTGCCAGTGCCACCGTTGTTTTCTGGATTGAGGGTGGCGCCGCCGGAGACCTGAGAGTCCCACTCAGCTGGTACGCTAGAATTGGCGTGCCCGCTGAGGAGAGTCAGCTTGGCCGCGGAGTCGCTGTTTCCCTCAGCGTGGGCCGGGATCAGGTCTCCAGATTGCTGCGGCTCAGGGTTTTGGGTCGAGGAAGAGTTTACTTGCTGATTCTGACAGAGCATGGAGTCCGGACACCGTAACTCCGTGGCCATACACCAATCCCCGGGCTGTCCCCGCAGCTACCGATCCCTACGGATAAAGAAGAGCACGGAGAAACGGTCAAAGCTCCTGTGCTCTCCCAACCATCTCGCAACCTCTAACCCCCTCTGCCCTCTCAACCCCTGGCTTCCGCCCTTCCCTTTTGTACTCTACGTCCAGGCTCCGCCCAAACCAGACGTACGGGCCCGCTTAAACTCCTGATTGGCTTTGCTCCCTGCCGCTCTGCAGCACACCGCTCGTTAACCCTTTGCATCACCCTGGCTGCTTGACCGAACCTGACAAACGGGTGAGGCTAGGGAACCTTGGTTCTCGGATCTTCCGGGAGCTCGTAGGGATTCTGCATACAGAATTTGAGTGAGTGATAGAACCAGGAAAACACTAGGAGTGGAGGGTGATAAAATGGTGACACACAGAGGCCCACGTTTTCAGAATTTGTGTCTTGCCAGAAAAGTTAAACTTAAGGAACTGCTGTAATCTACTGTAAACTTGCCTGTGTAACACAAAAAGACATTAGAAGTCTAGCAGCCAACTGAAGAGCCAGCCCTCTACTAGACTGTTCTACCAGCTGCAGCTTCCCAAGCGTGCTTGGCTGCTAGAGCTTTCCTTATCTTTATTGATTGAGCCCTATACTGTACAGTTACCATGGGAATTCTAACAGCATTTCAGGTCCACTACCGCTTTGTTTCTTTTAAATATCTGGAAAGATTTTTTTAGTGTGCAGTCTCAGTATAAAGGCTTGAGGTAATGTCTAGGACAGTATTTTTCAACTCCTTTGTGTATTAGAGCAATTGTAAAGTTTGTTCAAATGCAGATTGTTATGACTTACCTTTAAAATTCTGATTCAGTAGATCTGAGGTGGGACCCAAGAATCTTTATTTTTCAAATGTAACCCAGAAATTCTGATTTTTTTTAAAGCAGTACTTTTTGAGAGCAGGTGACTTACTGGCTCCCTTTGTAAGGAGCTACAACCTGAAAGTCAGTAACCTACTAATTCTACTAAAAAATTACTGAGCAGTATTTAACAAGTTCCCTTCGGTCTCTGGATTTGACTTTGCTCATCTATAAGTGAGATGCAGTAACTATTTGACCCCTAAATGTTCTTCCAATTTTGACATTCTATAATTCTATTTTGCCCTCCAAAAGCCAATTCTTAAAATTCCTTGTTCCACACAGTAGCATAACCAGCATATGCAGAGATTCAAACAAACATGATTAATGGATAACAGGAATATCAAGGCCTTTGGTGAGACTTGAGTATTGATCTGGCTCTCTTTTCCATTTTCTCTTTGTTTGGTTGTTCTTTCTCTATTGGTATTAATGGAATTTTTCGCCCTTTTTGTCTCCCATTTTCTCGGCTTTGTGTCTGACCCTCTAAGTCAGTACACTATTGGTTGTAATTATAGACAGCTTAAGTTTAATTGGATGAAAATTGCAGCCCTGTACTATAATCCCATTCCTTTTTGAAAGTCTGTGCATCTTTTCTCCTAGCACAGAGTATGACTCAAAGGTTNTTTTAGTCTATCTGAAATTTATCTCAAGGAAAGATGTTTAATATATTAAAAATTCCAACTTTGCATATATAATTATATTGTTAAACTCCAATCAGTCAGAGATTAGTGCAGGAACAAGCTTATGGTTCAATAGAATCAGATTTATTGACCTAGTAAGAGGAGACACTCCAGAGGAACCATGGATTGGTACCTTTTACCAGAGAGAGAAGAGAAGACCAGAGAAATGTCTTTTGTAAGCTTTGCATTCTCACATAAATATTAAGAGGATAAGGGGCTCTGGGATCAGTTATGAATTGGTTACTAGGTCTGAGGTGGGACTGGAGAAGCTGGGTTCATTTGGATTGGGTGCTGTCACCAGACAAGGATGCCTTAGCAAATGTGTATCCCCAGTAACAGATGAGTGCAACAAAGTGGTCCAGGGGCATCATTAGTACAAAAGTGATAGTTACGCAGAGTATTATTTTGACACTTTTCAGTTGCTGTATCACCTCAGAAGAACAGCAGTTCCTGTCAACTTTGGAATAGGTTTTTTCTGTGTCTGTACCCAAACCCTGATGAAAAACTGCTTCTGTTTTTCTGTACAAGATGATTTTCATTCTTTTGGCCCCAGAAAAGCTTTTAGTCTTTCTATATTTAATACACATATTTGTATATGGATATATTTTATAACAATCTATTGGTCATTCTTTAGCTAATCTGAAATGCATTATTAATCATATTTCTATATATACTTGAACACTTCTTTTTATTTTATCCTAATCACCTTTCTGATCAAAGTGGATCCTGAATTCTGATTTTAAAAGAGACATAATATTCTCTTCCTCATTCTAATGTCTGATTCTTTTCATTGCTTTATCTTAAATTTTAAGTTTAATATTAATATTGCAAAATGTGCTTATCAGTTAGGATTAACTTCAACCATGCATATGAGAAACCCCAAATGACTCTTGTTTAACTATTCTGGAGGGTTAGTGGTCTAGACAGGGTGCTCCCTGCATCAGGGAACAGGTGCCTCCTGTCTTTATTACTCAACTGTGAGTAGACTAAAGTTTATGGTCCTGGATAGGTGCAACCATGTTCCCAGCTGCAGGATAGGGAGAGAAAGGAAGGTTGAGGAAGGGATAAAGATGAAGCAGAGAGCAAAGAGCACATAAATGCTTTTCCTAAGGAAGGTTTTGAGATGCTTATAGGACACTACTGCTTACATCTCATTGACTAGAGATGTCATGTAGCTGTACCTACTTGCACAGAAGGCTGATAAATATGGTTTTTATTCTAGCCTTCTATGAGCTGAGCTAAAAATTCCATTACCATGGAGGAAGAGGTTTTTAGAAATATGGGAGCAACTAGTAGACCCTATAGTAATGTACCAATGTCTCTCCTCCAATTCTTTTGTAAAATTTATTTTTTCCTTTCACTGGCATTAATTTTTTCTTTTTTGTATTTGTTTAATACATTTTGATTGAAATAGTTAATTTACAATGTTGTGCTATTAATAGATTCAGATATAGAGTAAAATGATTCAGTCATATATATGTTTAGATTCTTCTCCATTATAGGTTATTACAAGATATTGAATATAGTTCCTTGTGCTATACAATAGGTCCTCTTTGGTTACCTATTTTACATATAGAAGTGTGTATATTTTAATCCCAAACTCCTAATTTATTCCTTCCCCTTTTCTCCTTTTGTAACCACAAATTTGTTTTCTATATCGGAGAGTATATTTGTGTTTTGTAAATAAGTTTATTTGTATCATTTTTTTAGATTCCACATAAGGGATATGATACAATATTAGTCCTTCTCTGTCTGACTTTCTTCACTTAGTAAGATAATCTCTAACGTTTCTGCAGAGTAAAGGAAACTATAAACAAAAAGACAGCTTAAGGAATGGGAAAAAGTATTTGCAAAGAATGTGACTTACAAGAGCTTAATTTCCAAAATATACCAAAAACTCATAACTCAACATCAAAAAAGAAACAACCTGATGAAAAAGTGGGGAGATATAAATAGATATTTCTCCAAAGAAATACAGATGGCCAACGGGCATATGGAAAAACGCTCCACATTGCTAATTATTAGAGGAAGGCAAATCAATACACAATGAGTTATCACCTCACACCAGTCAGGATGTTCATCATCAAAAGTCTGCAAATAAAAAATGCTGGAGAGGGTGTATTAAAAAAGGAATACTCCTCAGCTGTTGGTGGCAATGTAAACTGATATGTCCACTTTGGAGAACAATATGGAGGTTCCTTAAAAAACTAAAACATTTTTACCATATGATTCAGCAATAGCATTCATAGTATCTAGCTAGAGAAAACTATAATTTGAAAAGATACATGCTCTCCAAAGCCAATAGCAACACCATTTATGATAATCAAGATTTGAAGGCAACCTAAGTGTCCATCAGTAGATGAATGGATAAAAATGCTGTAGTATATGTACATAATAGGATATTACTCAGCCATAAATAAGAATGAAATAATGCCATTTGCAGCAACATTGATAGATCTAGATATCGTGCTTTTTTTTTATTTTTTATAGAAGAATGTACCAGAGATTATTTTCTATTTTTTTTTTTTTTTACTGTCCCAAGGATTCTATCTATACCCTCCTTAGAGGTAACCACTATCAAATCTTTTAGTATTACATTCAAAAATATCTTTACAAAACATTAGGTTTATGCTGCTGCTTAAAAAATGTTTCTTTTTACTATAAATGATAAGGATTTAGTGTTTTTCACCACCACTCTCCCCCAACAACATATTTCCTATCCATCTAGGATCCAGTTTACTCTTAGTTATATTGGCTTATATCAGTAATTATCAGCTTAGTTATATCAGGAATTATAATTCTTAGTTAGATCAGCATTCATGTTTAATCTAATTATGAATAGACAAATATTAAAAGCTGAGCCATATAGTGTAACATGATTTCATTTTTCTTTTATAATTTATCCCAACTAATTGCTTTGTTTTACTTAGTTTTCTTATTTTTCTCTATATCATCTGCTGTCAGTCATCCTCTCAATTTCATCTTGTTAGACCTCTCTATATACCTCGGCTCCAATCTCTATTGATATATCGCTAGCATGCATCTTTCATCCTTTTATTTCCCTTCATTATCACTAAGAGAATTCTCCTTACCTCTCTCCTGTGTAATACCCTCTGATTCCTGATCCTAGGTTCTTCTATTTGGTTCAATCCCACTTTTTTGATGGAAGTAAAATCTTTTCTGTAGGTAATGAAGATTGTCGTTTGGCAAGGGGGAGGATGGGAAAGGTTTTCAGAACCTTCCTTTTTGAAAGTAGGATAGAAATTTGTTCTTAATCTATTTCATGTTTGAAATTATATGCTGAAACTTTTGATATCTAAGTGATAGAAGTAATTTCTGGACTTGCTATATGCTATGAACTACTTATACGTCTCTTTTTTTTAAGTCACTATGTCATGTCTGGCTCTTTGCAATCTCATGATCTGTAGCCTGCCAGGTTTCTCTCTGTCCATGAGATTTCCCAGGCAAGAATACTTGAGTGGGTTGCAATTTCCATCTCCAGGGAATCTTCCCAAACCAGGGATCGAACCTGCATCTCCTGCTTTGGCAGGT